CCAGCAGTTGTGAGGACTTATCTCCCTGGCACTGAACTCCTGGGCTTGGGGGCCCGATGTGGGGCTGCAACTTGTTGCTCCCAAGATATTATTCTCCAATTTTTATCTGCCACATATGGGTGAGGGACCATTCCATTCCGCCTCTGTGCCCCTCCTACCGGTCTGGATGGATGTGGTTCCTTTTATTCCACAGTTGTCAGATCTCCATTCAACTTGATTTCTGGAACTTCTGAGTGATGGCCGTTCTATATTTTAGTTGTGATTTTGATGTGGTTGTGTGAAGAGGTGAGCTATGTCTGCCTATGCCACCATCTGGATTAGGAGTCTCAATACTTTTGTTTTCATAACTGTGTCATTAAGCTCCAGGAACAAACTATATATTTAAAACCAGTCTTCCAAAAATTTACTAAATTGCTCATGTTAAAAACAAATCCTCCTACATTAAATTTATTCCTAGTTTTTTTCTCTTTTTCTGATGCAATTGTAAATGGGATGTTTTATTAGTTTCCCTTTCTGATCATTCATGATTGGCGTGTAAAAATGCAACTGATTCCTGGTTACTTATTTTGTATGCTGCTACTTTACTGAATTTATTTATCAGTTCTAGTAACTTTTGGGGAATAAACTCAAAATGGATTAGACTTAAATGTCAGACTTGAAACCATAAAATTCCTAGAAGAAAACATAGGCAGTAAAATCTCAAATAGTGCATGCAGGAATAATTTTTTCTGATATATCTCCTTAGGAAAGGCAAATAAAAGAAAAAATAAACAAATGGGACTATATCAAGCTAAAAAGTTTTTGCCCAACAAACAAAATGAAAAGGCAACTCACTGAATGGGAGAGCATATTTGCCAATGGTACATCTGATAAGAAGTTAATATCCAAAATTTATAAAGAACTCATAGAATTCAACATAAAAAAAATCAAACAATCCAATTAAAAAATGGGCAAAGTCCCTCCCTGAACAGACACTTTTTCCAAAAAGGGCATACAGTGGCCATAGACATTGAAAAGATACTCAATGTCTCTAATCATCAGAGAAATGCAAATTTAAAACCACAATGAGATACCGCCTCACAGCTGTCAGAATGGCTATCATCAGTAAGTCAGCAAACAATAAGTGTGGCAAGGATGTGGAGAAAAGGAAACCCTTGTGCACTGTTGGTGAGAGTGCAGACTGGTGCAGCCACTGTGAAAAACAGTATGAAGTTTAATCAAAAAATTAAAAATGAAACTGCCTTGTGATCCAGTGATTCCACTTTTGGGTAAGTATCCAAAGAAACCTGAAGCACTAACTCAAAAGATATATGCAACCCTGTGTTCATTCTAGCATTATTTACAATGGCCACGATACAGAAAAAGCCCAAGTGCCCATCAATAGATGAGCACATAAAAAAGTGGTGGTGCGTACATACAACAGAGCATTACTCAGTCATAAAAAGAACGAAATCTTTCCCTTTGTGAGAGCATGGATGGACTTAGAGGGCATTACACTAAGAGAAATAAACAGGGTAAGACAAATATAATATGATTTCAGTTATCTGTGTAATCTAAAGAAAAACTAAACAAACAAACAAAACAGAAAGAGACTCACAGATACAGAGACAGACTTACGGTTGCCAACGGGGATGGAGGTTAGGGGAGCACGGGGTGAAAAAGGTGAAGGGATTGAGAAGTGCAGACTGCTAGTCACAAAACAGTTATTGGGATATAAAGTACACATAGAAAATATAGACAATAGTATTGTAATAATTACGTATGGTACAGTTGGATAAAGGAATATATTAAGGGGAACATTTTAGTGAAGTGTATGATTAGCTAACCACTATGCTCTACACCTGAAATTAATACAAAATAATACTGAATGTAAACTATAATTTAAAAAAAAATTTAAATACATTCTCACTGCAATGCACTTTTCATACAACCCTAGTAATAACAAAGGTCTTGATAATGGGTAGTAAAATCAACCTGGCAAAATAACTCATGTAGTGAAAAACATTTAGAAACATTAGTATCATCTAAGTGGCTGGGGCCACCCTGTTCTTTAGGCCCCACTGTCACTAACCCACACTACCACGCCAAGCCTGGATTCCGGGTCTATGAACAGAACATCGGCAGGAATCTGGGCAGGAGCAGTCATCAGAACCAACAACCAAATATATGTGGCATTCCACATCAATATCCTTTTCTCCTACTTCCACCCAAATTGGAGGCAAAACTTCAAACACAATGAGAGAAAATATAAATAAATTACAAAGGCCTTTGCCAAGAAAAGAAAAAACTGAAATTCCTGTGGGAAAAGTTCTAAAACCTTCCTGGGACAGATTCAAGCTGCAATATAACATATGCTGGGGTATTTCTGATTTAAGGAAACATTCTAGTAAGTAAAATTATCCTGAGGCTAAATTAGATCACACTTCTGACACCTGCAAGAGAATAATGGTCAATTTCTCCAGTGTCATGTTGGTATCTTTTTTCAGTATTTATAGATAGTGACATACTTCACATTTTTCCTCTACTCTTCCTTCAGAGAAGGGTCTATTTCTGTACCTTTCCATGGCTTTACTTCAGCAGGACTGATTACAAGGAATTATCAAATTCTTTATATTAAAAAATATCTATTAAGGCCTTCAAATTACTACTGAAAGTACAACAAAAAGTAATTCTCAGCAAAGAAGAAAACCAATAAATAAGTATACAAAGGGACTTCTAATACATTCAAAAGTCATTTCATTCTTTTGCATCAGTGAATACCAATCATTTCCCTAATAAATAAATTTATTGTGTCATTCAGCAGAGCTATTAGTCACAGCTGAAAATTTTCAAGTTTTCCCTCTATCCTTAAATTACTTTTTTACTTGAAAATGGGGCAGTTGCTTCACACAGAATTGGAGAAAATACTTGCAAATCGTAGATATGGAATATATAAAGAACTTTTACAAAGCAATAGTAATATGACAAATAACTCAATTTTTTATATGGGCAAAGGATTTGAACAGACATTTCTCCAAAGAAGATATATGAATGGCTAATAAGCATTGGAAAAGATATTTGACATATTAGTTACTGGGTAAATGCAAATCAAATCATATTGAGGCCCTGGCTGGTGTGGCTCAGCAGATTGAGCACCAGCCTGTGAACCAAAGGGTTGCTGGTTTGATTCCCAGTTAGGGCACATGCCTGGGTTATAGGCCACACATCCCCAGTAGGGGGCGATGAGAGGCAACCACACATTGATGTTTTCTCTCCCTCTTTCTCCCTCCCTTCCCCTTTGTCTAAAAATAAGTAAGTAAAATATTAAAAAACAAAAACAACCCACACTGAGATACCACTTCATAACCACTTCAATGGTGATAACTAAGACAGATAATAAAAAATGTTAGTGAGGATGTAGAAAAATTAAAACTCTTATAGAGTAAAACTATAAAATGATGCAGACACTTGGGAAACAGCTTGGTAGTTTCTCAAAATTTTGCCTATAGTTACTAACTGATCCAGCAATCCCATTCCTAGGTGTGCACCCAAGAAACAATTTCATCCAAAAGCCCATACACGAATATTCATAGCATGATAGGAAAAAAAGTGGAAGCAACCTAAATGTCTACCAACTGATGAATGGATAAAGTGTGATGTGTATGTATGTGTATACATATATAATGAAATAATATTCCATTATATATACATGTTTATATGTATATGTGTATGTGTACATATATACACATAAACATGTATATATACATATACACATAAATATATGTATATATATATTATTTGGCACTACAAAGGAATAATGCACTGATACAAATTATAACATGGTGAACTTCAAAATCATTATGCTAAGAGAAAGCAGCCAGTTACAAAAGACCACATATTATACGAGTCTGTTTGCAGTATGTGTCCGGAACAAGTAATTTTATATAGCAAATAAATGAGTGGCTGCCAGCAGCTGGGAGTAGGACTAGGAGAAAGGGGGATGGGAAGTGACTATTAAGAGGTTTCTATTTGGGGTTATGAAAATGTTCTAAAATTAGATTGTGGTGATGAGTGCAGAACCAAAAACCACTGAATTGTACACTTTAAATGGCTGACTTCTATAGTATGTAAATCATAGCAATAAAACTGTTAAGAATGTGGAGGAAGAGAATGCAATAATGTATTGCATTTCTTGGTGCCTTTGAAGACTGACTAGTCAGACTACCTAGAACTTTTATCAGCTAAAAAAAAATTGTTTCCAGGTTTATATCTAATACTAAACAAGCTAAGAAAACAGTGTTATTAAGGGAACTGAGAGTCATTGAGGGTCTTGGAGACAGCCCGAGAAAAACAGGTGCATTTTTTAAAAAAACGTGTGTACTAAATAAACCCACAGATTATAGGTCTGTGAAAAGGCCTTAACAAAGAATGAGCAAATATTCAACTTAAGATTCAATGAAAACAGGTAGTACCGCAGCGTTCATTCCCAAGTGCACAAGAATCTGAACCCGTAGGGTCCGGTAATTTACAAATTACTGCTCAAAGCTTGAGCAGTAATCGGCGAATAAAGCAAGGCAAAAGCACTCAAGGGCCGGCTTCCACAGGAGGGTCGATTGCCGTGCATCCTAAACTGTAGCCCTCAGTAGGAGACAGTTCGAGTGCCTGGGCACTTAAAATTCACACGCCCAGCGCGCTCACCTACAGCCTCCCAGCATTTTTCCTTAGCTCCGCCGAGTACCCAGAAGCAAAAGAGGATGGTCTCGGAAGCGCAGGGGATCACAGGACCAAGGCTAGGGGCTGGCCGGAGCAGCAAAGGACTTCAAGGGGCGCCTACCCCCACCCGCCGGGGGAGGGTCTGCTCGTCTTGCAGTCCCAGTGTCCAGCAGGGCACGCCTCCCAGGGAACGTCCCCGGGCTCCAGGCCGCAGGGCCGCCAACATCCCCCGCGATCCCTGCGCCTGCGGTGCAGGAGTGTGCGCGGGGAGTCTGACAATCCTGCGGCGCCACTCCTCCGGCTCCTACCTTCCTCCTGCACCATTTCCAGGACCTCCGGATCGCCCATCTTCGCCAGCTCGTTAATGACACTAAATGAAGCGACAGAACCCTGCGACCTGCGGCCAATTCTTGGGCGGTGATTGATTGTGATCGTGGGCCGACGGACAACGTGCTCCGAAGAGGAGGTGGAGGTGGCTTTCTTCGTCTCCTCTGGGAGGATCTCGTCCCCCGGTCTCTCCGCCGTCCCTGGGATCTCCAGCCAGTCGGGCTTCTTCTCCAAAGGATACTGCCCCTTGACCGGCCCCGTGCCCTCTGCCTGCCGCTTCGCCGCCCTCTCCCGGCGGCGCTCCTGGAACACCTCCCAGTACCTCTCCCAAAACCAGCGGGGACGCCTCTCTCCCGGCTCCCTCGCCTTGCCCTCGGGCTTCCCCAGGGCCTCCCCACTCTCGCTCTCCTGCTGCCCTTTTCTCCCGCCCGCTCCGTCCCTTTTTCCCCGCCCTTCCCTCCACCCCTGGACCTCAAGACTCGCCATCGCCCCGCCCTCCGGGGCCGCCATCTCACTGCCCCCGGGCCGCACCGGTAGGGGGCCGGCCCACTCTTCCCCGCCGCTGCCGCTCTGTCGGTCCGAGCTCCACAGCTCCACTACTGCTGCCTCCTCGGGGCTGGTCTGTTCCCCTCCCTCGTCGGTGCCCGCCGCCCCCAGTCCTTCCTCGGGGCCCACCGCCTCTTGGCCCGTCGGCTCCATTCTCAACCGACGTTGCTCGTCCCATTCCACCGAGTCGGCCCACGTCCAGGACTCCGGGTTCTCTGGAGTTGCCGTCTCCCCTCTCTCCCAGCCGTCCTCCTCGGATCCCCTCCGACCAGCCAGCTGCTCCCTCAGCCAGTTGTCCTGGTCCGCTTCCATTCGCTTGGCCCTCCGCCTTAAGCAGTGGCTCTCGGAGGGAACCCCCTCCCAGTTGGAGAGTTCTTTTTTGTCGGATGAGCAAAAGCCCCCTTTCTTAAGGGGACCCTTCCCCTTAAGGCCAGGACCCTCCAAGATTCTAGCAGCCCCTCCCTTCGGCGTCCCGAGCGTGACTACTAACTTTACTTCTAGCAGGTCCGACTTCCAGAACAGGGAACCTCCCAGATCTCTGCCGAATAAGGTTGGGGGAAGGTCAAACATTTTTTTTTTTTTGTCCTGAATTCGAGTTCAGCCTCTACCCCTAAAAGGTGAGTGGTGTTGACCAAGTTTCTGACAGCTTCAGTTTCCCCATCTTTAAAATGAGAATGATAACAGTACCCGCCTCCTAGGAATGTTGTGAGTAAAGTGTTGAGTGCGGGCATAATGTGTTAAAAATTAGCCTCCATCAAAACTAACCCCTATTACTTTGGGACAGCAGTTCAGCTCAAGCAGCGTGAATGGGTCCCATTGTTCTCAGGCTCCTCTGAGTTCGTTCTGTTACTGGGACCCCAACAGCTGCCAGCTACCCAATGATTGGGAGATATGAAGAATTACTGTCTAATGGGTGGAAAAGACACGAGTGATGCACTCAGGGTAAAGCAGAGGTATGAGCTGGAAGGCCTTAAGAGTACTGAGGACTGTGTGACTTTGCCTTTGGGGTGGGGATAGGGTGGTTTAAGAGTAAGGAGGAGCTAACCAAGGAAGATTTGCCTTTTCTTTTTTTCTTATGCTATTCTGTTTTCTTCCCCTTTCTGCTGACTGTTTAGAACTAAGAATTACCATTTACAGATGAGGAAAAAGACCTAGACATAAGTGTTTTGGTGAAGGTCATGGTTAACTGTGGAACTGGAAATCACCTTTTTTTCCCCCTCTATTTTGCTGTTTGTGCTCTTATGAAACCTCTAGGAATACATTAGTTCCGGTCAAATGATTTGAGACAAGCAATTCCTTACTTGACGCATTTCGGAATTGTCTTTGAAATGTGAATCAAGCAATGGACTTACATGTAATTAAAATAAATCTGAAGTTATGATGCAGGTGTTTGGTTTTTACTTCTTGATTATTAGCCATTGTTTGATTCTAATAAAATATTTACAACATGATTTGTTTCATGTTCTTCCTGTATCCTGGGTACTCTGGTAGGTACTATGCATATTGTGATTCAACAGATGAGTACAATCTTTGCTTTATGTAGATTAAAAATAAACAACAAAATTATTTCTACGGCTTTATATGATTACCAGTTTTATAGTTCTTGATTCTGCACCATATTTGAAGTGACATATGTGAAGAGACATTTAATGCCCTTGATTTTGCACAGAATTAAATGGACAATTTTGATGCTGAATTGGCTGATATGTTTTCAACTTTCTGTAAACGTTCTTAACAAAAAACACTCCCTGTGTGCTTTAGATGAAGGTCTGTATCTTATCCACAACTATTTAGATCTTGAGAAATTTTCTCAGTAGTCTTCTCACTATACTATTTTATGATGCTTATCCATCTATAATTTTAGGATCTCTTCATGTTCTTTATCTCTACACCTGCTTTAGACACAGTCTTCAACTATACATTTTGAGAATTGTATTCTAAGTAATGAATACACATTCTCTCAAGGGAATTGAGCACACCATCAAGTGTGGCAGTCCCCCTTATTTGCAGTTTTTCTTTCCCCAGTTACTGGGGATCAACCAAGGTTCAAAAATATTCAACAAAGATTTCCCCAAATAAACAATTACTAAGTTAAATTACAAGCTGTTCTGAGTAGCATCAAGAAATCTCGCAACTTCTCGCGCCATGTGAGCTGCCTACTGCCCAACACCTGCCTGTTACTCGCTTAGCAGCTATCGGCGTTTTCAGGTGGACTCATGGTATGGCAGTGCCTGTGCTGTGGTCACCATTATTTTACTTAAGAATGTCCCCAAAGCTCAAGATGAGTGGTGCTGGCAAGTTGAATGTGCTAAACAGAAGTCAGAACGTGTGTTCTTTAAGTGTAAAGGTGTAAGTTCTGGACGCAGTAATAAAGGAAAATAGCATATGCTGAGATTAACGAAGGGCTGTGGTAAGAACAAATCTTCTATCTGTGAAAATGTGAAGAAGAAAAAACAAATTAATGCTAGCTTTACTGTTGCACCTCAGACTGAATACATAGTGCATGACGAGTGCCTTGGTTCAAATGGAAAAGACACTACATTGGTGAGTGGAAGCCACAAACATAAAATGTGTTCTGATTGATGGCAACGCATTGCATTAGGAAGCAGTGAGCCTGTCGAGACCTCAGCAAGGGACCCCTTGACAAGCCACACCAAGCCATTTCCTCCAAGTAGGGGGATGATTCTCCAAAATAAGATTTGGAGAAGCCACATTCACACAACTTTATTACAGTATATTATTGTAATTGTTCTATCTTCCAGTTATTATTAATCTCTTAATGTTCCTAATGTATGCATTCAACTTTATCATAGTCATGTATGTGAAAAAATCATTTACGAAACTAAGGCCATATTGGTTAACTGACCACAGTTGCATAGCTATTTAAAAATTTTTAAATTTATTTTTAGAGAGAGGGGAAGGGAGGGAGAAAGAGAGGGAAACATTGATGTGTGGTTGCCTCTCATGCACCCCCTACCAGGGACCTGACCCACAACCCAGGCATGTGCCCCAACTGGGAATCGAACTGGAGACCCTTTGCTTCACAGTCCAGTGTTCAATCCACTGAGCCACACCAGTCAGGGCTGCAGAGCTATTAAAAGACAGAGCAAATGCTTGGATTCAGAAAAGCTTGACTCTTCAGTTTACAGTCTTAATCACCATACAGGTTTGCAAGATGCAAACTAAAATCAGCTTTGATTTTGTTCAGTATTTTTATAAATAGATCTAAATGTCCAGTTTCCTGTCATTTCATCTTTTGAAATGTCTCACTCATCAACTACTGGATGTGATTTCATGTAGCTGGAATCCATAATGGGTAATTTCCTACAATTGTCATTTGACCCCCTCCCTCTTTAATTCCTATAATAGCTGATGAGTGAGGCTATTCAATATTCAGTGTTGCCTGGTGGGAGGCCTTTCTTCTTTCCCATCAGGCAATATTGTTTTTAGATAAGCGTGTTGGTTTTGCGTTTGATGACACTGATTCCAAATTTGAGCTCTCTTAGTCCTTAACTGTGTGCTATTTGGTGAGACTCTCACCCTTTCCGAGCCTCGGTTTCCTTACTTATAAAATAAAGAAAATAATTCCTTCCTCACAGGGTTGTTTGGTACAAGAAATGTAAGAACTCTGTTTTTACTTCTTCAAGTATTAAACCGAGGGATGCCATTTTAATTTTATTGAATTTGTTATTGTTGGTAAATTGATTTTAAGTGGTAGAGTTTTTCAGAGAGCTTTAGAGAAGCCTGTTATGGTCAACTATATTCGTTCCTTTAATTTTCGTGACAATTTATTTTTATTAGTGTGTAACAATTCAGGGAATCTATAAAGCAAACCCACAGATTTCTGGACTTTGAAATCGAGTACATGATGCATAAAAGTGTCAATACAAATATTGCTGGGAGCAATGGGAGGAACTCTTAAGTCCCAGGGGACTCACATATTGATTAAAGAGCTCCATTATGTAGCATTCGGATGAGTTTTAGGGCTGTGGCAATGAAATAAAAGCTTCCGAGAAATAGTAGGTTCCTGTCAAAAGATGATTTAATGTTTGGATTCAAATATGCTGTCGGCCTACTTGTGTTCCTTAAAATACACCCAGTACTGAAATTCTGAAGGAGATCTTAAAACTTGGGTTAAATACAAAACCAAAAGATTGAAATACAGAAGCTTCAAGTTAGTGAAAGCATACAATTATGAACACTAAAATTGGTCAGGCCTTGTATAAAATGTTTATGAAAATATAGTCTATTTTCAAAGTATCTAATTTGGTTATAATTTCAACTGTGAGTAAGAAAAAATGCAATTAGGGAGTTCCAGTGTCTCAGTAGTTACATTTGGGGTTTTATCCACCTAATTAAATCCTCTTTCCTCTGCTCCACCCAGTGGCTCCATGGTTCCCACCAGCAGCATAAGAAGCATGAAGACTATACTTGACTCCCCCCGAAATTGTGAGCATTCTTATATCTGAGCCTGCGGCGGTCTGTAATGTCATGTTTAAAGGAGAAAGTTGTTCATCACATTCTTTCTTTAGTTCTTCCAAGCTAGAAATTTATTTGTAGTTGCAAGCAGGCAGGAAAAAAAAAAAAAGCTCACCCTGTGTTATTTCATAGTTGCTTTACATTAAGGGATGGCTCTAATCTTAAATTGCTAGAAAAGTAATCTTTAAAGACAAAGAAATGGGAGTCTGTAAAATGAAAACAGGCTGTTTCAAAAATGAACTGATTAACATCCACTTCACTGAAGTCAGAGAAGACCGGATGGGCCCTGGGGCAGGGTCGGCCGAACAAGGCTTGTCCCAGCAGGGTGTTTAGACAGAAGAGAAAATAGCTGACAGCCACACGCGATATTTTATTGGGTTGGGCAAAAAGTTTGTTTGTTTTTTTCTGTAAGATGGCTCTAGTAGAGCTTAGTTGTCTTTAACTTCATTCAAAACACTTGTGTTAGATTGTATTGTGACAGCTGTCACATCAGCATGCATTAAAAGAAACCAGAATTAGTGGATTTTTGTGTAGCCATTTTAATATTGAAGATGGAAGAAAAATAAACATTTTCAGTATATTATGCTTTAATTATTTCCAGGAAGGTAAAAGCGCAACTGAAACACACACACACACACACACACACACACAAGATTTGTACAGTGTATGGAGAAGGTGCTGTGACTGATCAAATGTGTCAAAAGTGGTTTGTGAAGTTTTATGCTGGTGATGTCTCCTCACTGGATGATGTTCCACGGTCCAGTAGACGCAGCTGAAGTTGATAGTGATCCAATCGAGACATTAATTGAGAAAAGTCAGTGTTATACTGCAGAGGAGATAGTCAACATACTCAAAATACCCAAATCAATAAAGTTATTGGTGAAAATGGAAAACGGGTCTTTTATGAAAAAAACCATAGGGACTTTTTTGCCAGCCCAGTACAGCCGTGATTATTTAAGTATTTGTTCATTGTTCTCCCTTTGTTGCTCCATGAGGACGTGAACCATGTCTCATACCATGTTTCTTACTCATCACTGTATC